ATTGAGGTAGAGAAAGCCGAATCCAATGGCGGCCATGATTAAGAGGAACAACTTGAAGGATAACGGAGGGTCCGTGAGCTGCATGAGGTCATGGAGCCAACTCGCGGGATTGAGGACCATGTAAACCGAGAAGAGTACACCAGTCGCGACTGTAATTACAAAGGGAACTATGCGCAAGCGAGGATTAGTGGTGATCTGATATATATGATTAGTGTGATTCCTTACTGTTTTCACGCATCGGTTGCCTAAATGGTGCGCCTACGCTCAACACAACCGCCGCGCCAATATACTGGAAGCAAGATATGAGGAAAAGGGTCGTGTTCTCAGAGTTCAAGATAGCGTTTTTTTCATCGCTAACAACTGGTGGAATATACCAGCTTTGGCGCTTTACGACCATGTAGCAACTCAGTTGAACAACAAACTGCAACAGAATCTGTCCCAGCAGTGGCACTAAGACTTTGCGCGATACAAGACTTGCGGTGGGCCTCTTGGGGCAGAGGACAGGGTGTGGTCCGGACCACCCCACTGAGGAATGTTAGCATAACGCAGGGTCTTAACTAGAGATAATTGGCTTACTGAAGACGGCAAGTGGTAGGATAAGGAACAGGTCAATAAATAGGAACTAGAGGAATGTGAGCAAAGATTCCCCGGAAAACAGCTAGTGATACGCACCTGAATATCGCCAAGATTTGATGCCGACCGGTAGAGTATGCTCACACTCGTAAACTGGATAGCGGAATACAAACTCATGAATTTGAAACAACTGAAGCTGGTCACAAGCGCTGCTCTTCCTTCCCTAAGCAAAAGCGTCAGTATTGCTTGTTAAGGGGTTGTGTCGAGATTTACCTGATGACCTCGGGGACGCAAGAGATGTGAAAGACCCTGCTAGTAAATGGGGCAGCCACTGATGCCTCTGCTTCCGAGAGGGAGATACCAACATCTGCAGCTTTTAAAGCACCACAGTCATTGGCCCCATCGCCGCAGAAACCGACACAGTATTCCAAGCTTTGCAGCTTCTCAACCAGTTCGTGCTTCTCATCCGGAGACATTCTTGCGAACACTTGGCCACGGGTAAGCATCTAAGCGCGTTAATAATGTTACACTAGGGGGGGGGGTTATAATCTCGTACCCGGTGCATGACTTCCTTTGGAGCATAATCTATAATCCACCTGAACACATCGCCACTAGCGGCTAGAGAGTATCCGCGCACACTATTAATTTGGTATGGCCCAGAGATATCTGCGCCACGAGGCGCAGGCAAGGGCTAGAAAGCATTAGATAAATCTGAGGGGAAACTTTGCAAGGTAGATGCCCCTACCAAAAGAGTCTGTTCGTCAAGAGCCCATTCTCGGTCGTCAACACTCTCCCACTGCAGCCTTGAGTTCGCAGTTCGAAAGTCGCCCTCTGCAAAATGAGGGACAAATATATGAGCATCCCTATCAACCAGATTGCATTCTCTCGCAACGCTAATCGCAGTTAAAATGTTGTCACCGGTGCACATGACCTTTCGAATCGCAGCTTGTGAGAGCTCTTCAATGACTCCAGCGGTCTGTGGCTTTAGCTTGTTCTCGAAAATGATGAACCCAACGAAGTCAAGGCCGGTCTCTGCATCGGTACGCTTCATCTTCTGGGCCTTGATCCAACTAAGCTTGGGGAGATACTTGGTTGCGCACCCAATGACTCGATATCCGCGATGGGTATAGTGCGCAAGAAGTTCATCATAGTCGGTAGGAACTGCAGCATATATAATTAATCAACAGGGCCTACTGTAACACTTGTACGTAGTATTAGAAACGTACAGCTTTCGGGTTTGCAGATCTCCCTCATACACTCTGGGGCCCCTTTGACGTATATATTTCCGCCAGCAGCCCGAAACTGTTTGACAATAACACTAGCGCGACGAAGATGGGAGACGAATTCGAAGGACTTGAATACTCCGAGCTCTAGTCCATTCTGTCGAGCAAATGGGTGGTTAGTTCAGATGAATAAGGGGCGGCTAAAAATATTTCAGACGGAGGCTACATACCACTGAAGGCGCTGGATCGTAGATATCGCTGTTCATAAGAGCACCTTTAAAGGCCGGCGGCCTGACCACTGGAGGAGAAATGCCGGTTGCCATGCCATGATCACCATTTGCCCCCCCGTCTGCCCCACGAGCCTTCTTCCCTTCTTCCTGGTACGACCATTTTGTGAATTCAAACATCTTTAAATCCAACGGATCCCCAACCAATTCGTCATCGACAAGACGGAGGGAATGGCAAGTTGTCATCGTATATAGAACAGCCTCAGAAGATGTGAGGCTTTCGGAAAGGTTACGAGCGAGTTTCGGTGACAGGCTGTCAGCATCTTTGTGTAAATCTGAGAATCTGAGATGCGATCAGCACAAAGAGATCTCTTATGTAAGGGTTGAAAGGTTACTTCTGAGAAAACAACTCGACAGCATGAACACCGAGCACATCAAGCCCGTCCTCAGTTAAGGTGCCGGTTTTATCAAAACAAACAACATCAAGTTTACCACCAATGTTTACACTTCCACTTATTAGCAAGGGGCGTTGCATTCGGAGGAGGGCCCATACCGCTGCGGACTGATGCAAAATATATCCTTTTTCTTAAGTCTGGAGATGGCAAAATTGGTCCCGATAGTGAGAGTGGCCGGTAATGCTGGTGGTACCACTATAGTAACGAGATCTAAAGCTCTTACGAGAATAGTTTGCCATGGCAACTGTGAGATGTCAGCTAGGTTCGTTGTGAGAGGGTGTAGGAATGCCTACCCCAAGGCGGAAAAAGTTTATGAAAGACGCAACAAAACCACATGCTGCGATTCCACTCATCACAGCAATATAGTAGAATGAGTCTCTGTAGAACTTGAATCCCGTCGGCTTGGGGAACAGCATAGAGCGGACCAAGGCCCCTTTAGTGGTGTTAAAACCGGTTCTAACGACCATAGCCAATCCAACCGCTTCTTCATCAACCCCATCTTGAGGTTTACGAGCTCTAATAATCCTCGTACCGCAGAAGAGAAAGTGTCGGGCTAGTTCAGGGAGTATCGAAGAGGATGCAAGATTCAAAGCTCGGAGAGCCTCGTCCGTACAAGGGACTTTAGAAACCGGAACAGATTCACCTATAAACATGTCAGACATGACCCGCAACAAGTCAAAACGAAGGATGGATCTACCAGTCAACATGCTCTCATTCACGATACAGTCTCCAGTTAAAAGAATACTATCACACGGATACAAGGCCAATGACGGATCAGTGACCTCATAAACATCGCCGGGAACCAGGTCATTTGATGAAACATAGCACCCTATCGATATTAGCAACTTCAATCAGAAGTTTGGCATTCTTTTGTTTGGCCGCCTTACAAAATCCATTGCGGAGCACGCGCACATCACAGACGAAGCGCGAAACTTCGCGCAACCGCCGCATGGTCTACTATATCAGCGGTTGCGTTACTGCGGCGCAGATAAATAAAACTCACTGATTTGGTTTCTATCAGAGTACTCGTGATACTGATAGCTGATATTATAAAGATACAAGTGGCATAATAGTAGTAGTCGTCAATTGTCCATAAAACCAAGCTGGCTATTTGAAATACGTAAAACGGGTGGAAGGCCTGGTTGTTTGGTTAGTGCTCGGCGGTGCATGATTTAGTGAGTCCATCGCTTCTGTTTGCAGAGAATGCACCAAGTAAAACAGACGAACCTCGTCTACCAAAAGCTGCATAGTGGTTTTCTCCTCTATGTCTATAACATTGTCTCCAAAAACAAGGCTCCGATGCTCCTTTTCATCGCCATCTATTCCCGACCGAATTGATCTCACATCATCCCAATTGGGATCCTTCCAGCTATTGTTGAGTATAAATTTGTCCAATAATGGGTGATAACAGAATCTGATATACCGATAATCTAAATACCGAAGGAAGGTTATGACTGGATCGTCATCTTCATCTGGGTCGAGAAATTCCGGGGTTTTTTCATGCAGGCTGAAAACTGTTGACAAATTTTGACCATACTGACGCTTTTGAATCCCTTGGACGACGAATTCGCCCCATTCATTCTACAAAACGTTAACAAAATAACTAGGTGGTGCCGTTCCCCCTACGTACCTCGATAGCAACCCAATGGCATTCCCAGAGAGGAGTAGGCCTTCCCACCAGCCGCACACGCCAGTGAGGAAGCCATCGAAGAAGCAACCATCCCATTCCTAGAGTAATCGTAGAAATTAAAAGGTATAACGCGTATCCCAATCTACTGGTGGTGAATCCAGCAACAACAATGGTTAGATCCTCTGTGAGAATATATATCTTTTGTGTTGTCCGTTTGGAGTCTCTGTTTGTGGTTGCAGAGTCCTGACGGCTCAGCAGTGGGTCCTCAGAGGAGGGACGAGTCGCAGAAGACATCCGGCGCAAGGGAGCTCCCTCGTCCATTCTGTCCTCAGGATACGAAGACACATATTCATCGTCATCGTCATCTATGATAGCTCCCCCATCGTCCCTCCGTTCGTCTCCCCAGAAGCTTGCTCGGTCATCCTCACCAGGTTGAGGATGGTAGAAAGACCAACTTGCGTTTGAATCGGCTCGTGAACGGCGCCGGTGTTGGAAAGAGGTTACGCTCGAGGCGAGGCTCTCCGAGACCGGACCTGCGAAGACCTAAAAAAAGTCAGAGAGGAAGCCCACCCTTAGGGCGGATAATGCCACAAACCTCGTTCTGGGCCATTTCAACCTCGCTATAAAAACTCGCATTGCTGGTCACCGAGTCTCGACGATAGTGGTGTAGCTGACGGGACTCTTGGACATGCTGGGCCTGAGCCGGCCGAGGAGAACCAAGTTCAGGCCTGGCATTGCTGTCCTCGAGGAGTGGACTGGGAGTATCTCCCATTGACCAACTTCAGGAATCACGATGTGAAATCTCTAGATTTTAGTATAAATCGGTGAGCGACAGGTGAGGAAGGTGAGGCAGGATGGTGGGTGGAGATAAGGTCCGGGCTTGAAGGGGAACGGAAAGCGCAGGGTACGGTATTGGTAGTCTGTTTAGGCGACAAGGACAAGAAGCCCTGCCAGCACTGTCGATAAACAAGGTGGCTCAAGGAAAAATTGGCGTGAAAAGGGAATACTGCCGGTATGCACCGTCTGGCAGGCGGGCTAAGGTCGATCCATGCATTTTATCTGATCAGCCCCTGGGGTCAATCCATGCTTTACCACTATCAGTATGAGTTACGCCAAGAATCTTCCCTGATCATTTTTTTCCCTTGTAGTAAGTATCATGCAAGAATCGGCACCTCTTTCGAAATAGCCCCCCCATAGACCCATGAAAAATAGTATTGAAGCTGCTATCATATCTCAAAGAGCGCAGATGGTACTGTACACCGCCATGTAGAGAGCAATAAACATCGCGGACCCCGATAGCAACATTTTTGGCCATGAAACTGAACAACTCTATCAAGTGTTGCATGCCGCCTGTTTCCTCACTCCTACCGGTAAAATTATATTGTGCTACAGAGTCCTCTATAATAATATTATGGTTCAATCTCCTTCATATCGGGCATATTTGGTGACTGGAAAGGAAAACGTCTAATTCCTCGTAAGTGTCGTTATCATATGTATGATATGATTGCCCCCACAGGATACCAGTGTCTCGCGCTGCTAGCACAGTCATTCAAACAGTTCGAACGCTACTCCAACTCGAGCATGATACGGGTATTTTTTTTCTTTTTATGGGCCCTCAGGCGCTATTCCAAAAGAGGTGCCAATTATTGAGGCTTAAGTTAAGATCCGTTCATCATGCCATTATCTAATCCACCTTATCTGGACTCCAATTTCTGAGACCTCACAAATTTTGAAACTTTCTGACTTCTGTCACCCCGCCGTCTTCGCCCCACCATCTTCATCCCTCCAAAATTCCAACCACCCCAAAACCTTCAACAACAAACTACTTCCAATCTCAAAAAATGCCGGCTACCATGGTGGCTCTGTCCACCCGACCTTCAAAACCGAACAAGAAAGGCGTGGTCCTCCCCTCCGAACGTGAGCGTTATATCCAGGCATGCGCCGACATTGCCCATCGCTTGATTCAACTTCACGAAGAGAATGGAGGAGGGAAAGATGTGAACCTTAATGCTCTAAGAGGCCAGATTTCGAAAAAGCATAAACTGAAGACAATCCCACCGCTCACAGCTATCATTGCTGCTATTCCCGAACACTATAAAAAATACATTGTTCCCAAACTCATAGCAAAGCCAATTCGTATGAATCCCATGCCACCTCTTTACATTACAGCCTCCTGAGTTGAGCGATTGTAGGTACAAGTTCCGGAATAGCTATCGTGGCAGTCATGTGCAAACCTCACAGATGTCCTCATATTGCCTATGTAATCACCCCCCTACCTAGCCCATCTCTCATGCTCATAAATTGTGAAGACAGGAAATATTTGTGTTTATTGCCCCGGAGGTCCAGACTCAGATTTCGAGTACAGTACGCAATCATATACCGGTTATGAACCAACCTCCATGAGGGCAATTCGTGCACGCTACGATCCTTTTGAACAAGCTAGAGGGCGTGTGGATCAGCTGCGACAACTTGGGCATAGTGTAGACAAGGTCGAGTTTATTATTATGGGAGGCACCTTTATGTCTCTCCCGGAAAGCTACAGGGACGGGTTTATTGCAAGTTTGCACAACGCGCTTTCAGGATATACTACGGAAAACGTGGATGAGGCTGTCCGGTGGGGCCCCACGCATACCCGCCTGCAATTTTGTGCACATCTAACTAGAATCTAGCCTAGCAGAACAATCCGAGACCAAATGTGTGGGGATTACAATCGGTTTGAGACCCACAAGTTGCACATTAAAATCTACTAACCACACACAGAAACAAGACCAGATTATTGCCTCGATCAGCACTTGAGCTCTATGCTACGTTATGGCTGCACACGGCTCGAGGTTGGGGTCCAGAGTCTTTACGAGGACGTCGCCCGAGATACAAACCGTGGCCATACGGTGAAAGCTGTATGTGAGACCTTCAAACTGGCGAAGGATTCGGGTTACAAGGTTGTGTCGCATATGATGCCAGATTTACCCAATGTAGGCATGGAGAGAGATCTGGATCAATTTAGAGTAAACAATCATAAAATCATTTATAATCCCTATCTAGTGCTAACCAAGAGTAGGAGTATTTCGAGAACCCGGATTTCCGAACAGACGGCCTCAAGATCTATCCAACTCTTGTCATTCGAGGCACAGGTCTATACGAGCTCTGGAGAACAGGACGATACAAGAACTACACCCCCAATGCTCTCATCGACCTAGTCGCTCGTATCCTAGCCCTCGTTCCTCCATGGACCCGTATCTACCGAGTCCAGCGCGACATCCCGATGCCCCTTGTAACTTCTGGCGTGGAGAACGGTAACCTCCGCGAGTTGGCCTTGAGCAGGATGAAAGACTTCGGAACAACCTGCCGTGACGTGCGTACCCGTGAAGTTGGGATTCAGGAGGTGAAGAACAAGGTACGGCCAGATCAAGTGGAGCTCATCAGACGAGACTATACGGCGAACGGCGGATGGGAGACATTCTTGAGCTATGAGGATCCGAAGCAGGATATATTGATCGGACTGTTACGACTACGGAAGTGCTCTGATCGAACCTTCAGGCCCGAGCTCATTGGTCAGCCTACGAGCTTGGTTAGAGAGTTGCATGTTTACGGGTCTGCGGTGCCAGTGCACAGTCGGAATCCGAAGAAGTATCAGCATCAGGGGTATGGCACTTTACTCATGGAAGAGGCGGAAAGGATTGCCAGAGAGGAGCATGGGAGTAGAAAGATTAGTGTGTAAGTGGACGGGCTAATGCTCACTGAATCCAACAATGGTGGCTAATGTGGACCATTGGTTACAGGATTTCCGGCGTCGGGGTACGAAAGTACTATGCTAAACTTGGATATCACTTGGACGGTCCGTACATGTCGAAGATGCTGGATGAGCATAAGGACGAGAATTAGGCTGGGTATAATTAGCAGTGTGCTTGCTCCCTGGATGTTCATGCTTACATCCTGGATGTTAGGGTGCACCTATCAATGTATTGTACAGTGTTGCTGTATCTTTCTTTGGCAAAGTTTCAGCGCATGAACACCCCATTTTTCCCCATTCGCACATAACCACAATAAGCCCGAATCCCCCCCACCGCCCATCCCAAAGCCCCCCGCACCAGCCCCCCACCCCCCTAGCGGTTAGCCCAAGCCCACTCCCCAAGCCAATAGACCTTGGTGACCTAGCACGACTACCCACTACCTCCCTGCGCCCCCCTCGAACCACGACCAAGGCGACCTCAAGAGTCAAGACATATCACTCGATCCACAATTTCCCCTCTATCTCTATCCCTTTCCATCAGAAAATGAGAGGGTTGAATCGAGACCTCGAATTCTGCCGCTCAGGGTAGCACGTGGTTTCTCCCCATATATGATATCATACAACCCCGAGGCCACGCCGTTAGGGGAAAGCCTGCAAGCGGCGTCGGAGATTAGAACTATGCACCCTTCTCGCAACGGCAGGTACCGTACCCAAACTCCCGCGAACAAAAATGGCTGACATTATATTTACAACTATGATAATATCATCAAACTGGACCCGTTCTCGACATCGTATTTTGCGGTCATCACAGCTGTTCCGACGTTGATTTGATACCGTAGATAGGTTGGTGGAATGTATGTACCTGGTGGTGGGCCGTTCTGTCCTGGGCTTCTAAAAAGTTGTGCGTGCCCGACTTGAATGAAGGATTTTGTGATCACTATCTCTCTTGAACGCCTGGAAACACCCGTGGCAGGTGGGAAGGGCGTCGCTAGTGGGATGATTCCCGGCCAATTCTTGATAGGATCTAGGGTTGAATATTCATTGTAAGAAGGATATGTACGATTATGCTGTACTCGACGGTATTCATTCCTTCAGAAAAGGCTTGTTTCCAGCCATGCTTATGTTACCACAAGCCTCCCATCTGTCATCGCACAGATCGTTTGCCGCTATCCGGACGCGCTACGGTACGGTACTTGTAGATGCCATCCGACACCACCACCACGCCACAAGACGGGAAATCCAATTCTTAGAATAACCTTAACAGATAAAAACTCGGTGTATTTTCTCGGGCTTAAGCTACAAGAATCCAACAAACACAGGGCGACCCATTTTCCGCCCCTTCTCATCTCATCTTATCCTACCTTCGCCATCTCAATCAATCTGACGATAATTTAAAACTGGAAATAATATATCATACAAACCCCACTCAGACTCAGCGGTCAAAAGTCGTGAAAAACGCGGGAAAGAACAGAAGGGAAAAAAGGTAACAGCGAAGCAAAGAGACCAACCATCAAACTAACAACTTCTACCGCCATACTAGGAAGGAAAAAAACCGCCACTAAGGGGTGAAATAAAAGAAAGCAAGGGTAAAAAAGCAGAAAGGAAAAGAAGCCTTGACTAGAGGAAACCCCCCACATATTGATTCCACCCCCACAAAACCACTTTTCTTAGTCACCACTGCTCGCGGGCTTCTAGTCCGAATCATCACTGTCACCTTCATCGTCCTCTGGTGGAGAAGCTCTGCTTGCGACCGTTGTGGTGGTGGTGGCCACCGCCGCTGTTGCGCGGGATTTTATTCGAATGCGGGGTGTGCCGTTGTTGCCTGTCGAATTGGCGACAGCGGCGGGGGTCCCAGCGCTAGAGATAGGACCTGTGGATGTCCCGTCTCCCGCGACGGAGGAGTGCTCGGGGTTTGTGAGAGCGTCCAGGGTTTTCTTTTCTTCAGCATAGCGGCGATCAAATTCGGCCTTTGTGGTAGTTAGCACTGGGGTGGGTGCGTAACAAAGGGGGGGGAGGTTACTCACGTCCATGGCATTCGCATCTTCATAGACCTTGGAGCCTTCCTCGTTATACGTGCGAGCGTTCTTGAACATTAGTTTAAAGTCGGCATGGAAGCCCTCGAGGTCCAGATAATCGCCGTTTCTAATACGCTTCTTGATCTCGTTGAAGGATATCGGCCGTCCAATGATGTGGTAATAGTCAGGAAATAGCTTCTTACTTGGTAGCTTCTCGAAGATCTCGGAACGGACACGTTCTGTTTCTGGGTCTTCAAGGCTGTGGACTGCGTCGAAGATTGCTTCACATGATCTCTGCAGCATCGCGCGGTTTCCGGGGGAGACGGCATCCGGCGGAGCGTAACCCTTGACTGTGCGTTGTCGTTTCCGGGGGTGTATCTGGAGCCATTAGTACTGAGATAGCATAATACGACCGCGAGCGACCTACTTTTGGTTCCTCGACCTCTTCGATACGGCGCTTTTCGGCAGCTGGCTTGCGGCCACGTTTTCGTTTAGGCTGCACTGCGGGAGGCGTATCTTCAACTCCAGGACTCTCCGGTGGTGGAGAGCTTTCAGACAATTCACCTGCCCGTTTTGCCTTGTTTACTTGCCTCCGCTCAATTCTGTCACGCTTGCGCCGAACAGCATCCTCAATTGTATCATCATCATTATCAATCGCATCCAGCCATTGCTCTTCTGTCAAGCCGTCATCATAATTAGTAACCTTTCTCTCACGAGCACCCCTACCGACAGGCCCCGTCGGCTCTTCAATAGGAATGAGGTCATCGTGGAGATAGATTTCTGGTAACTCGGCCTCGGTATATAGCCTGTCTAGAGGTTTTCCTTTACCGTATAAGGAGTTCTTCTCGCGGTCAATGTCCATTTGCTTGAACAGGGTTAATTCATTGTCATTGCGAGAAATAATCTCGTTGAGCTCGTCATCATCGAGTTCCTCACTATCCCCAACTTCCTTTTCGTCGGCTTCTAGCATCACACGTAATAATGCGTCTCGCTCCTCATTGGTTGACTTGTTGTCAAACTTTCCGGCCTGAATAACCTTTCCATCGATGTCCAACTTGTACTGGGCGCGCTCAAGAATTCGCTCTTCGACTGAATTTGATGTAATTAATCGAAGGATTCGGACCTCGTTCTTCTGCCCAATACGATGGGCACGATCCTGTGCCTGTAAATCTTGATGGGGGTTCCAATCAGAATCGTAAATGATGACTGTATCGGCTGTTTGCAAATTCAACCCTAAACCGCCAGCACGGGTCGAGAGCAAGAAAATGAAATAAGGAGAATCGGGTGCGTTGAATTCCTTCAACAAAGCAGAACGGTCATCGGCCTTGGTAGAACCATCGAGTCGTAAATACCGAAATCCTCGGAGGTGAAGGAAGTCCTCCATAATGTTCATGATTTGTGTCATTTGGAAGAACATTAAAACCCTATGCCGCGTAGCAAAAAATTTCGGGAGCAGCCGATCAAGTAGCTCGAACTTTCCGGCCGTACGCCATAGTGCATCGTTGTTCACTTTTGTGGGGTTGATGGCGCTTTCGACCTCCTCAAAGACGAATGGATGATTACAGAGCTTACGGAGCTGCATAATCATATTACTGAGGCCCCTCACACCTAATTTGCCACCTTTGTCGGGTTCATTCACGTAGAGGATGCCATTGTTCATCATCTGCTGGTATAGCTTTTGTTGAAGTGCAGAAAACTTGCACTTGATGACCCTCTCGACCTTGTCCGGCAGCTCCGACTCCACATCCTTCTTAAGACGACGCAACAAGAAGGGCCGGAGAACTTTATGGAGACGGCGAATAACCAGCAGCGCCTCTTCTTCAGTGAGTTCCATTTTGTCCTGACCACCGGTATTCGCGAACGGAGTATTGAACCATTCATCAAAGCTCTTTACGGACTTGAAGATTGTTGGCAGAACGAAGTTCAATAGAGCCCACAACTCCGGAAGATTGTTCTGGAGCGGGGTACCAGTCAAAATCAAACGATATCTACAGTTGTAATATGTTGTCAACGTAGCGCTGAGCTTCGACTGACTATTCTTCATTCGATGGCCTTCGTCAATGATCATATAGTTCCACTTCACCTTGCTGAGAAGTGGGCGATCTTTGATGATGTATTCATAGGTCGTAAGGAGGACCTGCCAATTCGAAAATTTAATGTCATACTGCTGATTCTTTCGAACAGCGGGAGGGCCTTTGTAAACAATCTTTCCAACTCCTGGGGCCCATTTCTCGAATTCAAGATTCCAATTAGTCAAGGTACTTCCTTGAGCGTTAGCATCTCAAGAAACGAAGTAACACAGATCGAGCGAAACTTACCTAAGTGGAACGATGACCAGGAAAGGTCCATTTTGTTTCTTCCGCTCAATCAGGTAAGTAATCAGCGAAATTGTCTGGATGGTTTTTCCCAAGCCCATCTCATCTGCCAGGATACCATTCAAATTGTTGTTGTACAGTGAAATCATCCACTGAAGGCCCTTTAATTGGTAATCCTTGAGCTTTCCTCCGGTCAATATCGTCGGTTGTTCGGTAACATTTTCCTGGATACGGTGCGCAACAGCGTAGTAATCAATCTTTTCACCGGTGGAGTCTTCCTCTTCATCTTCACTCTCGGGCTCTTGGTAACCCTCTGGCTTTCCGTACGTTTCAACGGCATCCCTTTGCTGTTGTCGGACGCTTGCAGCGAGAGATTCCAAGAAAGAATCGGTCTGCCGTAAGAGGTGCGTGATACGGGTATCTTTGGCCTGGTCAAGCAATTTAAGGTATGCAACTTCATCGTTAGCCTTCAACGCCAATAGACGCTGCTTGGCAGTTCGCTCCATCCTCTTTTGCTCTTCCTTCTCCATATGTTGATGTTGCTGCAACATCATGCGCCCCAATTTCTGTGCCTTGGCATCCCTAGCCCTAGCCTCCGCTTTAATCTCCTGCCCGTGCGCGATGACGCCCTGTAAGTATTCTTGGTGTTTGCGCCGCTCACGTTGCTCGCGCTGATCCCTCTGTTGCTTCTCCAGCTTCTCAGTAATGCGGGCTTCCCTCAAGGATTGTTTCTTCCTCCTACGAAACATGGCACGATTAGATGTGACAGCTAAGTTCTCGGCATGCACCATCGAATTGACCATCTCCTGTCGGAGAGCGCGCTGCTTTGGCAACAAACATAGCGCTTTATACTCAATCAATGCCTTTAATTTCAGAGAATCTGTGAAAACAGCAGAGGTTTTCCTGGTATCAACTTCCCCAATATTACTAGGCAAGTTTTCCAACTCAGCCTTACGAGCGCTAATCCGATTGAAGATCACACGCTCGCGCTCATCCTGTAGTAGCGAAACATCGATGCCCGAGGGCATGATACTAGGAATCATTAACCTCTTTGCCCGGGATCCATGATCGTGATAGCTGATCTTTGGCTGGAGACTAGCCCAAGGAGATGTGAATGTTTCGTATCCAGATCGCCTCTTTTTAGGAGCTTCAGGCTTCTCGGCCTCAACCTCCTCCTTAGCAGTAGGGTCGACAACGGCGTTGGCTGCGGCGACCTCGGAACCAACGGCGTCTGGCTTGGGAACGGATGAGGAGAATATCGCGCTCCGAATCAATTGAGGGACCGCAAGGTTTTTCGAAATCATCTTGAAGGCCATGATCTGATTTCTGAGAATACCGAGCTGGTCTTGGGTAAAAGTTGAATTAGGGCTGCTCGCATTCTTCGGGAGCGCCGAGGGTACCGGGGACGGCTGAGGGACTCCAACCCCATTTGTCGATGGTGGGCAGTCAGCGGCAGGGCGCTGTTGTAGAGAAGAAGCGATGTTATTTGCGTGTTGGGGGTGAGCAGGTGAGCGGCCTGGGCAAAAGAGTTAGAGATTGATGGATGGATAAGGGTGCGATAGCCAACTATACCATTAAGCTGAGCTGCACCGTTTTGCGATACGGGGAGTTGCTGAGCTCTCTGCTGTTGCTGTTGTTGCTGCTGCAGATGAAGTTGCTGCTGCTGCATCTGGCTCTTGTATGCTTGCTGCTGTCTGATTGCGTTGAGGATACCCGAGAGGTGGGCAAATTCTGGGTGATTTGCTTCGCTTGCGCCTTGGGCTTTTAGATCTCGCCATTTCTGTTTTTCACCTTTATCAATAGCTGGGGGGGGGGTTATTGAGTAAGGATAAACTGACCTGATACACTACTTGTGCTTGCTCTTTAGAAAGGGAGCTCGGAAGGGAACCCATCTGGGTTGCCATAGGCATGTTGTTTGCGATGGAACCCATCATAATAGGAGATGAGCGACAAGCGAAAACCGACCAGACAAACCAAGGGATATAGATGGACGCGCGAGGAAGTAGATCCGTCGACGCGTCAAGCGACGGGGGTGGAGGGTGTGAGAAAGGGGAGACGTGAGGGCCACCACCACTGACAAAGCGATGCAGCGGGTATGGAAGGGAGGGTAGGTTGCAAAGTGGTTTGGATCCACCAGGCTGAGAGCTGTTTTCAAGGACAAGGCCGCGATAACGGTGATTTCGGTGATTTTTTTTTTTTACCTGACTTTTGGTTATCCCCCCTTTTTTTTCTTATTAAGGATAGATGGGAAAAAAGAAAAAAAAGGAACGTCGGATTTTTTATTTTTTTATCCCGCTTGTATTATATTACGAGAAGTCAGGGGAACGCGGCGAGGGAATGGTGTCTGGATGGTGTGTGTCTCTCTTCCTCGAAAAAAGTCGCCTCAGTTGCAAGCGACGGATGAAGGAGAGATGTGAAAAGGTTTCCGCAAGGGAGACATGAATGGGTGGGGGAGGGGGTAGAGAGGGTTAGCCACAAGGGGCGAAGTGAGAAAGTGTGGCGTTCGGGGGGGGAGGGGCTGGAAACAAGGGAAATTCCTCAAGGTTAAAAAAGGTGCGAAGAAGAGTTATGGTATTATCGTATGTATGATGGGGGGAAAGGAGAAAGTAAGAAAGGAAGAGAGAACAAGAGTGAGAGGGTGTGAAGGAGCTGTGCTGGAGCTACGATTATGGGGGCGGTTTTGGAGGCGGTTAGGGCGGCGAACGGCCACGGAGTGAATAAGGGGGCGAGGAAAAGTTGCGGTTTGAAGATGGGTACCGTGCCCGTGTCTTTTTGTCGGGTGATGGCTACGATAGAAACTACCGTGTGGCAGAAGATATGAAATATACTGTAGAGCTGAGCAGGGTGCTCGAGTACGGTACGATAGTGCTATGATATGAAAGGGTGCTGCTTCGTCGCCAAAAAAGTGTGGCGGCAACGAAAGGGTTGCTCTCCGTTCTTCCAGAGGAAAATCTGGCGGGAGGGAGGAGTGTTGGTGTGTCCTGCCCGCTTTTGCTGGCTTGGGGGGTGGGGGGAAAGGGAAAGAGGTTTTGGTGGTCGAAGTTGTTGTGTTGCTGCGCGTTGGCCCCAAGCTGCTCGTAGCCGATGGATGACTGGGTCGTATTACGGTCACTGTGGCTTATAAATGTGGCTGACGATCGTCACTCCTCATTCCTTGCCTACGGCAAGGAGAATAGCATTCAGCATAGACTACCCTTACTCGAGTAACTTACCCGCACCAGTAACTTACAATATCAGGAACAGGGACTGAACCCATTTCCCGACGCCAAGCATAGATTGATCTCTACCCTCAGGGATTCCTCGCAACCTCGCAACTGGACTGGTGGGATAACCAGTGCTCGTACTCGAGTACGGTAATCTTTTCATTCCCGTAGGTTACTCAAAAAGAAAAAAAAAAGAAAAGAGAGAAGAGAAGGAAGCCTCGTGCTGCCAATATCGGGGAATCGTTGAACATCATGTTTCCGACGATCCATATAGACAGAGTAATTTTAAATTTCTTTGACCACTAGATGTTATCTCGTCATCAGGGTCCGGTCGTAGAGGAGGAGAATAATCAGGGCAGAGGGCTAAGTCTTTACTCGAGCCCCATGTTAGAAATTGCAAGCTACAAAAAACCATAAAACCCCAACAACACCCCGCCAAAGAAAGACAAACTGCCCCGCCATCTTACCGTGCCAATCCCTTCTCTCTAGTACGACGAACTCACCAACCTGTTCCCCGTATCCTTCCCAATCGCCCTCCTATCAACAATGGCTGAATACCCTCTTCTGTGTTTGGGAAATCCCCTACTTGGTATGTACCAGCGTACTCACTCCTTCCATCCTTCTATTCTGCCCCGTGCTTCCGGAGGGATGTGAAATGTTTGTTGAGGCTATTGGTGAATTGGCGGCTGACGATATATCCCTTGCCATGGGAAACAGATATACAGGTCAATGGGTATTGCTGCCTTTATCCATTAACATGATCTTGTTTTACTAAGTCTGCTTCAAAGTGATCAAGCTCTCCTCGAAAAATACGGATTGAAGCCTGACGATGCTATCCTGGCCGAGGAAAAACATCTCCCCATCTATGAGGAGATAACTACCAAATATACACCAAAGTACCTTGCTGGTGGTGCTGCTCAGAACTCTGCTCGCGGAGCCCAGGTAACAAGGAACCTTGCCGTGTATATTATGGGGAGGAAAAACTAATGATTATACGGGATTCAGTATATGCTTCCTCCTAAGTCTGTGGTCTACCTCGGCTGTGCCGGTCAGGATACCTTTGGCGAGGCCCTTACAAGCGTTTGCCTGAAGGAGGGCGTTCTCACTAAATATCGCATTGAGAAGGATCAGCCCACCGGCCGTTGCGGCGTTATTATCACCGGCCATCACAGGTCCATGGTAACTGACCTTGCTGCCGCCAACCACTACAAGTTGGAGCATCTGGAGTCGCCCGAGATCTGGTCATACGTTGAGAGTGCTAGAATTTTCTACGTCGGTGGTTATCATTTGACCGTTTGCGTTCCGGCAATCTTAGCTCTCGGGAAACATGCTGCAGAGACTGGAAAGGTATCTTGTGATTGTTTTCTCACAGACTTCTTGAACTGTTGGCTCATGAATAGTAGATTTTTG